ACACAAAAACGCATGTGCATCCCAATAAACGCATAAACTAAGAACTAATCATGCAAACAAACATGAATAAATGAATGAATATATAAAGTCCCGTGAGGTGTAAAACACCTGACAATATACAAAAAACCATATATAAAGTCCACAGCAATTCTTGAAGAAGAAGAAAAAAAAAAAAAAAAAGTGCTGATAAATGTGCAGAGATATCCAAAAATATGGCTGAATTGCCCGCTCACCTCCCTCTTGCGACCCGCACAGGGTCAAAAGGCCTTCAGGATCACTAACACATGGACCCTTAATAGTAGGTAATCCTCCACAGCTCTCCACACTGACCTCCCCTCATGTACAGATTCCAGCACAGGCTCACAGGGCAGGCAGCAGATCTCCTCTTCAGGCACATAAGGTGGCTGCAGCCACTTGATCCCTCAGAAAATATAAGTGAATGCTTGCATAGTGTAAAACTATTTATTCACCAAAGTATCACATATCGAATATGCTCACATTTAAAATCATCTTGTACATCACATGTAAATCAAACCTCAGATCAGATGTACTTGCATGGGTGTCCAATGTAAATAAAGAAGACGTCCGACCGGAAGTGCGTCACTGCCAACGCGTATCGTCACGCTTAACACGTGACTTCATCTGGGCAAAAGTCACGTGTTAAGCGTGATGAAGTCACGTGTTAAACGTGACGATGGAAGCCCTGGAAAGAGCCCTAATTCTGCCTCACTTTTATCCGAAAAGTAAAGCCACAAAAAAGCCCAGTTACAATATGCCCAACAACAACTTGACATGCCTCACAGCTTCTGGAGCACTGTAATCTGGAGTGACAAAACCAAAATAAATCTGTATGGTCACAACCATAAGCACTGTGTTTGGAGAGGGGTCATCAAGGCCTATAGCTACAAGAATACCATCCCTACTGTGAAGCATGGTGGTGGCTTAATGATGTTGGGGGGGTGAGCTTTAAAGGCAGAGAATTGATGGCAAAATGAATGCAGCATGTTATCAGAAAATACTGGTAGACAATTTCCATTCTTCTCACAAAAGCTGCACATGGGATGCTCTTGGATATTCCAGCATGACAATGACCCTAAGCACAAGGCAAAGTTTTTCCTCAAAGTGGTTACAGCAGAAAAAGGTGAAGGTCCTGGAGTGTCCATCAGTCTCCAGACCTTAATATCATCAAGCCGCTCTGGGGAGATCTCAGACGTATGGTTCATGCAAGATGACCAAAAACTTTACATATGGTCCCATCCAGATGTCTTTTTCAGGGAAGGCCTTGCATATTTCAGCAGGACAATGCTAAACTGCATAGTGCATCTATAACAACAGCATGGTTTCATAGTAGAAGAGTCCGGGTGCTTAACTGGCCTGTCTGGTACAGGCCGTCCACCTAAACTGACAGGCTGGGCAAGGTGAGCATTTATCAGAAGCAGCCAAGAGGCCCATGGTAACTGGAGGAGCTGCTGAGATCCACAGCTCAGGTGGGAGATCTTTCCACAGGACAACTATTAGTCATGCACTCCACAAATCTGACCTTTATGGAAGAGTGGCAAGAAGAAAGCCAATGTTGAAAGAAAGCCATAAGAAGTCCCATTTGCAGTTTGCGATAAGCCATGTGTGGGACACAGCAAACATGTGGAAGAAGGTGCTCTGGTCAGATGAGACCAAAATGTAACTTTTTGGCCTAAAAGCAAAACGCTATGTGTGTCGGAAAACTAACACTGCACATCATCCTGAACACACCTTCCCTACCGTGAAACATGGTGGCAGCATCATGTTGTGGGGATGCTTTTCTTCAGCAGGGACAGGGAAGCTGGTCAAAGTTGATGGGAAGATGGATGGAGCCAAATACAGGGCAATCTTAGAAGAAACCCTGTTAGTCTGCAAGAGACTTGAGACTGGGGCGGAGGTTCACCTTCCAGCAGGACAATGATCCTAAATATACAACCAGAGCTACAATGGAATGGATTAGATCAAAGCATATTCATGTGTTAGAATGGGCCAGTCAAAGTCCATACCTAAATCCAATTGAGAATCTGTGGCAAGACTTGAAATTTCCATCCAATCTGACAGAGCTTGAGCTATTTTGCAAAGAAGAATGGGGTATGAATACTTTTTCAAGGCACTACTGTATATACAGTATGTGTGCATATGTATATATGTGTGTGTAATATATAAATATATATATGTGTGTGTATATGCATATACTGTATGTGTGTGTTATTTGAGTAGCACAGGTTCCAGTAAAACATCAAAACAAAATGAGAATTGCAACCGATGTAACATGATTTAATTTAGTAATGAGGTATTGCACACCTCTGTGGCAAGGAAGTAAATTTTAAACCAGCAAATACAACTTTTAATGATACCATCGTTGTGAGCGTCTATGGGGAGTATTCCTCTACACCCCTCCCCCCTTTCCCAGCATGAAATATTAACCAGGTACTATTCTCAGGTTTTTTTTGTTGTGTGGGTTTTTGTTTTGGTTTGTTTATCTAAATCATCACAGCTATAACTTGATTCTCTGCGTTTTGCCATCTAGAATGCATTAACTGAAGAAAATAATGGTGTATATGGAGAACAAAGGCTGCAGTAATGGGAGCAGGGCCAAAGATGCTGGTAACCTTTCTGTGTTCCTTAACCCATTCCTGCTGCCTCGGCATCCCTTTAAAAAGTTCAGAACACCAGGGTGGCAGAAAGGATAGGCGATAATGTGACCGCTGTGATTGGCTGTCACAGGATTGAAAGTTGTTCCCACCATCTACCAATGGTTAGTGGGGACCGAGAACTGTCTTTGACAACTAAGTCTCTGTGTTGGAAGCATGCAGTGAGTGCGTTCTCGGCTGCCCATTGATGCATGTATACGGCATGTGGGCATCAAAGCCTACCATTTTGCTGCTGCATTCATATATGTATTATGCAAACAGCAACAGAACAAAGCTGAACTTCGGGCACAAGTACTTTACCACTGAAATATATTAATAGTCATTAAGGATATAAATCTACTTTTTGTGTGCAACAAACGCTTTCACAAACAGTTATTACCGTATCGGCTTAGTGCACAGTGGGCATTTAGCCCCAGTGCATGAGACTCCAGCGTTTAGGTGGAGATGAAACATAGAGGAACACTGTCAGCCTCATTGCTGTCAACCTGTAAAAGTCTGAGAGGCTGACCACTCCTGCGGCTGGACGGTGCACCATGCGATACGAATGTTTAGGGGAGTATATACCCAGGCACAAATGCCCAGAACACAGACTGCTTGTGTTCCAGGCGTTCAACCTTGGACGCATGCTGCCCTAAGTGTTTGTATCACTTGGCGCCCCTTCCATCTGCAGCAGCTCCCATAGTTTTACAGGCTGTCAGAAGTATGGGCATCTCGGTGAGGGAAAATCTTCCCAGTAGGATCAGACAACATTTTTTAGCCCTTTTTTTTTATTCTATGCAAAACTAATATAAAGAAAAAATGGCTGCACTTAGACTTCATCAGGTTTCATTGCAAATTTCTGTGGAGGATGGATTATATTACTTAATATTTTATTGGTCAGCCAGTCTGAATCAAGTTTCGTATTTGCCTAATATCCTATCTGTGGCGGTAAAATAGCTACAGTTGCCTTGTAGCACTGGAATATTGTTACAGTAATGGGACAATCTGCGTGGATTTGTCTACTTTGCAGTTATTAGATTGGAAGCTTTTTGGGGAGAAAGGGCCTATCATTGAGGGCTGTCTTAAGCACTAGTTCAACAGGAAATATTAAACATTTACAAGTGCACTTTCAGCTTCAATCCTTTTATTGGATTTTAACCAGAGAAATACAAAAGTCTAAGTCAGGTTCAGTCAGTTCATATGAATCTCCCACGCAGGGGTTGATAAACAGTATAGACTAAACAATACAATTCAGTCAACTACTGTATATCAAGTATCAAAAATAGAAGAAATATGGGACATTGGGACGGGACTAGTAAATGGAATATGCAGAGAAGTCAGGTCCCAAAATTCTCTCGCAGACCCCAAAAGGGGAGGCTCTGCACTTGCTTCCACCTCCAAAAGGAGGTGGCTGCGTGAGCATAGTCAAGGGAAGCTAGACAGAGGAAAAGAAGGAAATGTAAGAGAGGGAAAGGAAGAAGGAAGGGGGTAAAGGTAATTTGGATGTGGAGGCTCCGGAGGGGCAGTCGGATAAGGCCTAGGCATGATGGGTAAAGTGGTGGGAGCTCGTATGAGATCCAAGGTTCTCAAACCTTAAGAAATTTAGCGTGGCAGTCAGTCAGGATAGACATTTGTTCGTGGCTTATCATACTAGTCAGTCTTGTTTTAACTCCCTGAAAGGTCACCCGCTTGGACTTCCAGGCTTGCGCTATGGTCCGTTTAGCTGAAATAAAAAGGTACGTGACCAATTTCTGTTTTGAGGCGTAGAGCCCGGGAATAGGGTAGTGCAAGAGGGCCAGTTTTGCATCCTTGTGGACCGGCAGATGAAAGCAGGTCTGGAGTAGGCCAAAAACTCTAGATCAAAACCCTACTATAATTACATTTTAATATTGTGGCACCTTGTGTTAACTGTGCTAAACAATATAGTGCTCACACTATACCAACTGTGTGGATTAGCAGCCCCCAAATAGTGAATCAACACTTCTACAAATTACAAACGTGATTAGGATGACGCTGTGCAACATAAAACATATCACAACATGTATAATTTTTCAACCAATAACAATGAATAAAGTTATAAGTCCTTCCATTATTGTCTTATCCATAGGGACTCCTAATAAACGAGAAATCACTTTGTTGTAGTGACAGTCCTTTAACCACCTCCCGCCCGTCATATAAGGTAATGACAGGCGCAAGGCGGTTCTCTCGTTCTGGGAGGATGGCATATGACGTCCTCCCACTCCAACCGCACGTGCGTGGCTCCGGGAGCACGCAGCGCGGTGATCATTGTGCGCTGTGTCCCTCGGACACAGTGGATCACCGATCAATGGAAAGAGCCGAAGTTGTCGGTCCAATCACAGCTGATCGCATGTAAATAGGGCAATGCCAGTTATCGGCATTTCTCTCCTCACGAGCTGTCACGCTGACAGCTCGAGAGGAGAGCTGGTAATCGACACTCCTCAGAGGGGACATGTACACTGATCATCAGGGCACTGCTGATCAGTGTGCCCTGATGATCAGTGTAGCCCCAGCAGTGCCACCTCTCAGTGCCCATCAATACCAGCTGTCTGTGCTCATCAATGCCACCTGCCAGTGCCCATCAGTGCCTCATCAATGCAACATATCAGTGCCTATCTGAGCTGCCTTTCAGTGTCACCTATCAGGGCCAGTCAGTGCTGCCTATCAGTGCCGCCTAACAGTGCCAGTCAATGCCACCTATCAGTGCCATATAAGAGTGCAGCCTTTCAGTGCCCATCAGTGATGCCTGTCAATGCTCATTAATGCCACCTACCAGTGCCACCTATCCGTGCCCATCAGTGCAGCCTATCAGTGCCCATCACTGCAGCCTCATTAGCGCACATCAGTGAAGGAGAAAAATCACTTATTTACCAAATTTTATAATAAAAACTAAGAATTTTCAGTTGTTTTTGGTTTGTTTAGCAAAACAAAAAAAACCCAGAGGTGATTAAATACCACTAAAAGAAAGCTCTATCTGTCTCAAAAAATGATAAAAATGTCATATGGGTGCAGTGTTGCATGACCGCGTAATTGTCATTCAAAGTGTGACAGCACTGAAAGCTGAAAACTGGCCTGGGCAGGAAGGGGGTATAAGTGCCCTGTAGGCAAGTGGTTAAGATTCAATACTGAGAAATGAAACCCTGTGTGCCTTCACCACGTGCAGAAAAAATAAGTGAATTGCTCATTCACCCAACATATTTGACACCGGTTAAGGTGGTCAAAAGCGCATATTTGTATTGCATGAAGAGAAAAACCGCCTCTAGTTGTCCCAAGGTGTTCCTCCCAGTTTCCCGCACATTAAAGGTAATGGCCTCAGGGAAATAGTCAAAGGATTCCAGATGGACCAACATTGGATAGATACTCTAATGTCAGGCTCTCCTTTCTTTGAGGAATAGTTCCAAGTGGCTCAAATAGAGTAGATTTTAAATGTTCTAAGTGCAGTATTTATTGAAAAGCTTAAAATATGTAGACATACAAGTATACACTCACATGTATAGGTGCCCTGTTAACCGGCACCAGTATGTATAGCCTAATGTGATCCGAAATTTGCCGATGTGAGTTCCAAGCTTTGCTTGGCCACTATTTTCCATGCCTTACTCCAATCCTCTAAGTCAGTGGTTCTCAACCTGTGGGTCGCGACCCCTTTGGGGGTCGAATGACCCTTTCACAGGGGTCCCCTAAGACCATCAGAAAACACATATTTCCGATGTAAAGAGCAGCTACTGTGTAGAAAGCAGCTGCTGTGTTGAAAGCAGCTACTCTGTTAAAAGCAGCTACTGTGTTGAAAGCAGCAGTATTGGAGTAAAAGGACACTCATGAATTATGATTACTGGGTAAATAATTTTATGGTTGGGGTCACCACAACATGAGGGACTGTATTATAGGGTCACGGCGTTAGGAAGGTTGAGAACCACTGCTCTAAGTCTAAAGGGGACTGAAGGTCCCATTGGGACATAGAGAGGGGTGTCGAGGACGGGCATCCATTCAGTGATGCATCGATGGCCGAGATGAGACCAAGGGCATGCTGGCATGCATGTTCAAAAGAAGTCTTCCTATATGGGTAGGTGAACCTGCGTCACAGGACACCAATCCATTGTTTTAGCTGCAAATAGTGGAAATGCTCACTAGCTGGGGCATTGTGCCTTTCCCTGATGGCTTCCCAGGGTGGGAAGAAGTGGGAGGAAAGAAAATTCTGAACCCGCAGAAAGCCACAAGGAGAATGCCTGAGGTTCCTCCAGGCCCAGGGGGAAGAGGATTGTGGGTGATTGGAAGTAATGGTAAGAGGAGGGACATCAGGTTGCCTGAGTTGTGGACTGAGTCCCAAACCTGCAGGCTATGTAACATTGAGGGGCTCAAAGACAAGGAGCATATTACAAGCCAATTTTTTTCAAAATGGAATTCCATGGAGTTTTCCATATGCAAAAAAAATTGGTTTTATGTTAAGTCACATGCAATGTTATATGCTCTATTTTCCTGATCAGTTTAAAAGGCCATTCCATTTGTTTCAGTAATTAATTTTTGTTCCTGTACTTTTACTTTTCTTCTTTTCTGACTTTAATTTGATATGTCTTTCCCACAATCCCCTGTTTTTGCCATCTGCTTTTCACTTGCTGGCGCTTTAATGTGCGTCTCTCATTTTTCCATTAGAATTTTTGTCACAACTCATTTATTTTATGGGACATTTTGGAATCTGTGTAGCTGTCTGAGATAGAATTGCTTGCCATAGATGAGCAAAGTCAGCCTCTCACTGATCACTTTTACCATTCGAACAGGTAGATGTGTCCATCATTTATAAGGTGCCTTTCATGACATCTTTCTTAAGTGCCATTGAAAAGAGAAAGGCGGTGAATGATTAGGTATGTAATCTTGATTTGATTCTGCCATTGAGAATTTATGCAAAATGAAAACCTTGCACAAGATACATTTTTGAGATGAGGAGGATAAAGGTGCCCACAGTTCTAAAATAATTTCCCAGTCCTGCCAGTGGCTACTGCAATGCCTCTGAATGCAGCAACACTGTGCTTTGACCACATGCAGACTGGCCAGTTAATGCTAACCGGTTTGTGTGTAGCCAAAACCCAGCAGAAACGCAGATCCTGGGTGCTTACTGAAAAAAAAATTAAATAAATGTAAAAAAAATGGCAATAGTTAAGTCAAGGCCAACTCACCCAAACGGTATAATCACTGTAGCAAATTACTAACACTAGTAAAAAGCTCCAGGGACAAAATTCATGGCCCTGCCAAAAAAAAAAGGAAAAAAAATGCTTTATGGACACATGTGGCTTCAATCAATATAAGTTTTTATTACATACCATAAATATAGAGTTAGAAAAAAGAAAAATGCCCCTTCACCCTAATAAAATAAGACTTTGTAGTAAGAATACCTAAAAAAGGACATCACATATGGCCACAATAGGTTTGCATACTCAAAATGGGGCCATGGCTGGATCACTGGGACCTCCACAAGTGACACCCCCAAAAGAAAAATGAAAAGCTATTTCCCCTATAATATTAGTGTTGTGGCAAACTAAATGCATACATGAAACAGTATAAACCCTGTAGTAGAGATTGTATAGATCAAGCAAACTCCACACTGTTACACAATATAGTGGTTCCATATGAGGCAAAGTGAAATGGCTGTCATGACAGCCATTTCACTTTGCCTCATATGGTACCCACTAATTTTATTAGGGGTGAATGGGTATTGTTGTTGGTTTTTTTTTTTTTAATATTGTATTTATGGTATTTAATAACGCTTATATTGTTTTAAGCCACAAGTGTGCATTAAGCAGCCTCTTTTGCCATGGTTTCTTTCTATGTCCCTGGAAATTTTTACTAGCTTGGATGCATACTGGCTGTATCCAGGGTTTGCTGGAGGATCTATTTGTGTTTTTTGTTTGTTTTTTTGTTTTGCAGGTGCTGCTTTCTGTACCTGTAGTGCGTTCATTTATTCTTCGGAGGACTTATCATAAGAGAGAGAATTCCTTGTGCAGCCTTCCAAATTGTGCCCTTCGGGTGTCCATGGATGTTGTGCACTTGTGTACAGCCCTCGGAATATCTCCCAGTGTGAGCTGTTCGTCTCCCTTGGCTGTCTCATCTGGTTCTGCCTGAGGCAGGGGGTCAGTGTCAGTAATGCCTCTTTCTTCCGAGTGCAACAATTCTGCCTGTGACTCACCCTGTTCCATGTTATCAGTAAATTCAGAATCAGTTATGGAGGAGGATGCTTGAGAGCCTGAGACCTTTTGGGTGTTGTAGAGAATGTCTCTTGTTGGTTCTTTCCCCGTTGGGTGAGCGTATTTCAATGGCTTTCCTGCTCCCTCCTTAGATTTGTCTGGTGTCTGGGATGGACACTGAGGAAGAGGTGGCTGGGCGCCATATTGACTCTCCTGAGCCTGCCGCTTCTTTCTTCCCTTTACGGGTCATCATTGGCAGCAATCTGCACTGGGAGTTGACCGGAGGAGCAGGAAATGGTGAGGAGGCAGTCTGTGCTGGCCCCAAGTGGTTCTGAAGGCTGAGGGAAGGATATTTTTCAGATCACTAGCAGGAGCTCCATGAGAGTTCCATACTGTACTTGACCCCCCCAATCTATTCACATGTAATTACTCAAATGAGTGGCTATATGTAAACAGCAGCGGCGGCAGCCATTGATTTGTACAGGATACAAATTTTACAGCCACTGCTGACAGCGTGTGTAAGCAGTGTTTACAACTGCTGGCAAGAATCTACTGATTCTTGCAAATGGTTGTCCCTGGCCTTGTGAATGTAGCCTAACTCTGTGTGGGTTTTTTTTTTTTTTTTTAGTTCCGGATTCGTATTATTCTTCCAAATTAGATACCTACACCTCCACAGCCCTATCGCAACACACAGGATGGTCATCCACCAGTGGGTCTCAAATACCCCTCCTTCTGTAGAAGGGAAGGATGGGGAAAAGGTCCTTTACTTAGTGGGACTTTGGAGGCACATATTGTGAATTAATAACTGATGAATCAACCATTAAAACATAACACTCAGTTTTATTTATACAAACTTAAAAAAGACATGACACATTGAAATACATGAATTATGGCAGTGATTGTCAAAGGATGTAAGACTTAATATTGAAAAGGTCTTTTTCCCCGTCTTTCCCATATTTCCAGGGATGTTGGCACCTCTTGTGCTGTATCCCCCCCCTCCTCTCTCTCCTTCTACAGAAGTGTTAACGTATTAACTTTTAAAAAATTTGCCTACCAACTATGAAGAGGGGGGCATCCGCAAGCACTCTTAGCTATGGTTACGCTGGTTGGATCTCCTCTTCAGTCTTGTATTGCCCTTCCCTTATGGATTTCTATCATTTTCTTGGGAGGATAAAGAAATTGATGAAATATTTCATCACCCTCATCAACCCCTCAAAGTGGAAAAACTGCATTTACAAAGTGCAGGTATCTGCAACAACCTCCAAAACCTGACACTTGCTGATAGTGCTGAATCCAAGATAGCTGAGACCCAACACTCAATATCCACATAGGATTAAAATCACTTTATTGGAAAATATACTGTATATAAAATATAGTATTCTTTGACTACATGGCTTATTGGAAATTTAACAACAAACTAAATATTCTGTGACTACACGGTGTTCCAAATTATTATGCAAATGATATTTTTCTAATTTACCTAAATAATTGATGTAAATAACAGTCAGCATAATTCTCATGTTATCAACTATTAAGAGTACAATTCAAATTTTATTGAACAAACCTCCTAATAACAGGACTTTTTTTAAACATAAACTTCCAATGCACTGTTCCAAATTATTACGCACAGTAAGTTTCAAAACACTTTATAGGTTGTAAAGAACTGAAAATTGTCATTTGTTGTGCTTGCAGCATATTTACTGAAATCAAAAACTATTTCAATCAAACTTTTAACAACAGTTTAACTTTTTAAACATTTTAACAGGTCACGTTACATTATAACATAGGAGCCCTTATTTGATAGCAGCTTCATAAGTCTTGCATCCATTGAACTTTTGAGTTTTTGGACAGTTTCTGCTTGAATTTGTTTTGCAAGATGTCAGAATAGCCTCCCAGAGCTGCTGTTTGGATGTAAACTGCCTCCCACCCTTATAGATCTTTTGCTTGAGGATGCTCCAAAGGTTCTCAATAGGATTGAGGTCAGGGGAGGATGGAGGCCACACCATGACTTTCTCTCCTTTTATCCCCATAGCAGCCATTGATGCAGAGGTATGCTTTGCAGCATGAGATGGTGCATTATCATGCATGAAGATGATTTTATTACGGAAAGCATAGTTCTTCCTTCTGTACCAGGGAAGAAAGTGGTCAGTCATAAACTCCACATACTTTGCAAAGGTCATCTTTACACCTTCGGGGACCCTAAAGGGGCCGACCAGCTCTGTTCCCATGATTCCGGCCCAAAACATGACTCCACTACCGCCTTGCTGACGTCGCAGCCTTGTTGAAACAGGGTGGCCGTCCACCAACCATCCACTACTCCATCCATCTGGACCATCCAGGGTTGCATGGCACTCATCAGTGAACAGGACTGTTTGAAAATTAGTCTTCATGTATTTTTCTGCCCAATGCAGCCGTTTCTGCTTGTGAGCATTGGTTAGTGGTGGCCAAATAGAAGGTTTATGCACAGTTGCAAGACTCTGGAGGACTCTACACCTTGATGTCCGTGGGACTCCAGAGGCACCAGCAGCTTCAAATATCTGTTTGCTGCTATGTAATGGTATTTTAGCAGCTGCTCTCTTGATCCGATGCATGGATCTGGCAGAAATCTTCTCTTAATAGTGCGATGATCACGCTTAAGTTTTTGTGAAATATCTAATGTTTTCATACCTCGTCCAAGGCATTGCACTATTTCACTCTTTTCGGCAGCAGAGAGATCCTTTTTCTTCCCCATATTGCTTGAGAATGGTGCTCTGCTTAATAATGTGGAACACCCTCCTTTAGTAGTTTTTTTCCCTAAATTGGGCTCACCGGCCAATCTAATTATCACAGGTGTCCGAGATTGTTTTCAGTGATCAAAAGAGACCTGAGACACAATGCTATCCATGATTTAAACTGAAAAATGAAATATTTAATCTTTGTGACACTTAAATAGCATTTGCATAATAATTTGGAACAGGGTGTTCATGTCTGCCCTTCCTGCCTCCCGAATGTTCTTATTGATCAGTGAAGACTTTCCATCATAGTGATAAGTGAGAGGTAGTGGGAAACTCTAATGCTACTTGGAGGTGTTGGAGGTTTGCCTTTCAGAACAGCCTGGATTTTGGCTGTAGCTGCAAAATTTTAGAGGTTGCTGCATACACTTAAGAAGCCCTTGTGTCTCATACAAAGCTGAACGAATGCAAGATGGAAAAATCTCTATGGCATCCTCATCACCTCAAAGCTTTTCCAGTTTGAACAAGGAAGAATCTTGGCTCCCATAATGTGCTGTGAATCAAAATGATGTAGTTGAAGAGAGGGGCTGAGACATTCTTTTTGGGTTTTAGAGGTTTCCTCAGTTTTGAACTGCTCTTTGTTCTAAAGGATAAGCTAATCTCTGAAAATAAATTATAAATGGACATTTTTTTTTTTTTTTTGAAGATCGCTGGTACCATGCAGGACTCCTGTAGAATATCAGTGTAAGCGGTCTATCCATACCTCGTACAGGCAGGCAGTTTCACACTGACAGGATGAATCGATGAACTACCAGCTCAACAGCACTGTGCTAGTTAATTGAGAACTGCAAGCTAGTATCTGCAGAGGATGTTGGTACCTCTAGTTGATTCATTCACAGAGCTCTGTGAATGACGCTACCATGTGGGCGGAGCCCTGCATGGCCACGCACTTTTCAGAAAGTGACAGGTAGTACGGAGAGCTTCTCCCTGTACTGCTGTCACACAGAGGGCTTGGATCTCCATGTTAAATGCTCTCTCCTAAAAAAGGGTTGTGACATGTAACATGTTCCCAAAGGTGAACTTATCCTTTAAGGAAATATCCTGTTTTTCCCATGGAGCTTAGCCTTTACTTACATTAAAGCAATCTTAAGTAGTAGAAAATGTTTCATATGATGCAGTTTGTCACTGAAAATTAATTTTAAATTGTTGACAGATATTCAGAAGTCATTTTAGAACAGCTTTCCGTTGAATCAGAGGTGTCAGTAATTGCCTCATTACCATGGATCTTTCATTCAAATTTTGCTTTATTAGTCCAATCAATATCTTCTGGTCCTCTGAGTTCAGATATACCCCTGTTCCATTTTAAGGATGGTTTTTTAAGCTTGTGTTTTGATGAGATTTGTCCTTTGATGTGAAGTTACTAATTAGCTCCTGTCACTTGGTTCAAGCGTTTTATTCATTTAAACTTTTTGTCATTCACATAACTACTGTACCTCCCTATGAGGAAAAGAAGAACGTGCACTGTACTTTAATATGACTGGTTCTTACAAGGTAACGAAGAGGTCACCTAGCACTGCAGTCTAGAGAATTGTGTTGTTACTGTTATTAATCCAGATCTGTCATTCTCAAACTGGGTTCCCTGGAACCCTAGGGCTCTTCCAGAGTTTGCTTAGTGGTCCTTGAGCTGTGGGTGGTTGTCCTCTTATTTGATGGTGTCTTTGTAGTTCCAGGACCTTGAAAGAGCCAGCTGCATGATACCAATAATCTTTTTTTAGCTGTCTATAAGGGTGGCATTCTGACCACCACTGTGAGGGGGCATTCTTCTCCCTGTCCACCAATGTAAGGGGCATTTTTCCAACTGACTTCTGATAAATTGGTTTCAGCAGGGGTTCACCTAGACCTGAAAACTAATTAAGTGTTCTCTGGGGGTAGAAAAGTTGAGAGAGGCTGATCTAGATAATAATGTCCCCTGCAGTAGTATCTGATCTGTCAATCGCTACATAAACTTACACTACTTGTGTAAAGTACATATACCTGGTTGTGATTTTTAAATACCAATACTCAATTTCAAATCAACTTGGGGAGAACCCTGCGCTTTAAGCCTAGGCTGCATTGAAGGCCTAATTTTTTTCTGTAAGTTGAGAATAAAGAAGAACTTCAATGAAAAATAAAAGGTCCACTTTCCTGTCTCCTACTGGCCAAACAAAGCTAGCTGCAAAAAACCTTGAAAAATCCAAATTTCACAAAAAAGAGATAAAACATTATTTGCCTCGGCCCCTGCTTCCAATGCTTGCAAATAATGTGGTTGTAATCACTGCGCTCCATGGAAAGCTGGAAATGCAGGATTTTAAATGTCCAAAAAAGCATCAGTGAAGTGCTGAGTATTTTTAATCATTTTTTTTTTTTTTGTGAAATATCTATTTTTTTTATTTAAACTCTTATGACCGATACTTTTTGAGAGCTGTGGTGGCAAGCAGGAAAGTGAGCTCTTTATTTGCATGAAAGGTCACCTTTAAACTCTAACTTTTCCACCTGCTAAATCCATCCCCCCGGTTATTACATTTTTAAAAGTCAAAGCCTCCATTGGTCACTGAGTATCTGTCATTCACCAGTTTAATGACGGGAGGGGCTTAGTGATTTGAAGAGCAAGGCTTGACATGAAATTGGAAAGAGATTGAAGCCTTTTATAAGGTTTTGCTAATGATGTGGGGAAGTAGATTGGAAGACAAGTACAGGTATTTAAAGGTGCAAGATCTGCAGATGTTAGTTAAAGCAACTTGACTAGAAAAATAAAAACTTTTTTTTTTTCGGCTCTTATTTGTTTTGATCTTAAATTTTTTTTGTCATTTTGGGGAAAAAAGAAAACCTGGAAAAAAAACTTTTCTTTCAGTTGTTTGTAGTTTCATCTTAACAAATGATAAAATCAATAAACGATCCTTTTGTGCCATAAAAACCTGCTGCAGACTATTACACACCATGTTTTCCAGACTTTGAAACTAAAATCAGCAAGTTACCTGGGAACCCCCCCAACTTTATGACCTTTTTATAATCTGGCTACTTCTAATAGCCTTTACAATCAAATATGCTTTACAATAATATGCTTTATAATCAAATAAAAAGGTACAGTTGCAAGAAAAAGTATGTGAACCCCTTGGGATTACGTGGAGTTTTGCATGAATTGGGCATAAAATGTGCTCTGAACGTAATCAAAGTCACAACAATATAAGAACACAGTCTGCTGAACATAATACTACACAAACATTAGATGTTGCCATGGTTTAATTGCACATAACATGTAAACATTCACAGTGCAGGGAGGAAAAAGTATGTGAGGCCCTAGCTTAATGACTTCTCCCAGAGCTAATTGGAGCCAGGAGTGAGCCAACTTGACTCCAATCAGTGTGATGATATTGGATGTGTTGCTGACAGCTGTCCTGCCCTTAAAAAACACACACCTGTTTTGGGTTTACTGGTTTCAAGAAGCACTGTCTGATGTGAACCATGCCTCGCAGAAAAGAGCTCTCAGAAGACCTACGATCAAGAATTGTTGACTTGCATGAAGCTGGAAAGGGTTACAAAAGTATCTCCAAAAGCCTTGATGTTCATGTGTCCACGGTAAGACAGACTGTCTACAAATGGAGAAAGTTTAGCACTGTTGCTACTCTCCCTAGGCGTGGTCGTCCTGTAAAAATGACTGCAAGAGCACAGCGCAGAATGCTGCATGAGGTAAAGAAGAATCCCAGAGTGTCAGCTAAAGACCTACAGAAATCTCTGGCACATGCTAACATTTTTGTTGACACATCTACAATATGGAAAACATTAAACAAGAATGGAGTACATGGTAGGACACCACGGAGGAAGCCATTGCTGTCCAAAAAGAATATTGCAGCACATTTGAAGTTGGCAAAAGAGCACCTGGATGTTCCACAGCACTACTGGCAAAATATACTGTGGACAGATGAAACCAAGATTGAGTTGTTTGGGAAGAACACACAGCACTATGTGTAGAGAAAAAAAGGCACAGCACGCCAACATCAAAACCTCATCCCCACTGTAAAACATGGCAGAGGGAGCATCGTGGTTTGGGGCTGCTTTGCTGCCTCAGGGCCTGGACGGATTGTTGTCTTTGATGGGCAAATGAATTCCAGAGTTTATCAAGACATTTTGCAGGAAAACGTACGACCATCTGTCCGCCAACTGAAGCTCTGCAGAGGATGGGTGATGCAACAGGACAATGATCCAAAGCATATAAGTAATTCAACAAAACAATGGCTGCAACAGCACAGAATACATCTTCTGGAGTGGCCCAGTCAGAGTCCTGGCCTCAACCCGATTGAAATGCTGAGGCATGACCTTAAGAGAGCGATTCACACCAGACATCCCAAGAATATTGCTACACTGAAACAGTTTTGTGACGAGGAGTGGTCCAAAATTACTCCAGATCATTGTGCAGGTCTGATCTGCAACTATAGGAAACGTTTGGTTGAGGTTTATTGCTGCCAAAGGAGGGTCAACCAGTTATTAAGTCCAAAGGTTCACATACTTTTTCCTCCCTGCACTGTGAATGTTTACATGTTATGTGCAATTAAACCATGGCAACATCTAATGTTTGTGTAGTATTATGTTCAGCAGACTGTGTTCTTCTATTGTTGTGACTTAGATGACGTTCAGAGCACATTTTATGCCCAATTCATGCAAAACTCCACGTAATCCCAAGGGGTTCACATACTTTTTCTTGCAACTGTATGAGTTATTTTATGCTTGATATGTTGGCATTCATCGACAGGAGATTCGCACTCGTAGTTTTTGTAACAGAGTTTGTTTGAAAGTTTCCTTACCTTTTTAAATTGGCTATTCTCCACAAGACAAAGTTTTCTGACAGTTTCCTTACCCCTTTTATGCACCACCAGCTGAAGTCATCTAAACCTCCCTCAGTTGCACTCTACATTTCCTGACCCCATACAAGTCTCCACGATTTTGGGCAGCACAGTGGCTAAATGGTACGCCCCTTGAGGGTTAG